AACGTGTGCCAAAGGCCAATATCCCCACCGCGACGCAGATCAACAGCACCCGTCCGCTTGCCAAAGTCAAGCGCGCCCGCGACCTTCTCAGGCTGGCAGACATCCAGGGGCTAGATTGGCTATTTGACGCAAACCCAGATGAGGCAGTTCGCGTAGCTGAAAGCCTGTGGGACCAGCGCACACGCCACATCGTCGCGCAGGCATCCCTGGAGGCAGATTCGCAGTCTCCTTCTCATCCCAGTCCGGAAGGCGACCGCCGCCCACTGCCTGTCCCTTCAAGCAGCAGCGTGCAGCACAACAACGCGCACACACGCAGCGCGCGCGCCGAAAGCAAGCAACTTGCAGTCTCTCCTTGTCCGCCTGAACAAGGAGACGCACAGGAAACGCGCCGCGTGCATGGAGGTGCATATTCATTGCCCGCCTCGCTTTCTCGACCCCCAAGCACTGAGCTGCGCCAGAAGCATGCCTCAGCTTTGTACAGCCCGGTAGGGCAAGCCCCGGCGAGGGAAGAAAGGTCATCCCTGCCCCCAGTGGAGGAGATGTACGACACGATTCAACGCGTTCGAGACATGACGCTTGGCTCAAGGTCGGAACCGCGCATTCCTTTACCAAAGCTGGAGTTGGTGCAACGCTATGACGGTAGCTCGGATCTACGCAAATTTGAGACTTTTGTACACGATCTAAACCGCGTATTTGCCAACATCCAGGGCGTACCGCCATCTTGGTACATATCGCAAATGGCTGGCCGTCTGGATGGTAACGCGCTGGACTGGTTCCACCTCGAAAACTGTTATGGTGACAACTGGATGAGAGTTGTGCAAGACATGAAGGATCGTTTCATCCCTCTCACAAATCTCAAAGCGAATTTGTGGGAAGAATTCTTCTCCATTTCTCAGTACGATGTTTCTGCTCGCAGGGAATCAGCGGTCCAAGAACTACTGAACCAATTGGAAGATCTTCGATACCGCATTGGCGCCGAGTGTACAGACGAAATCATGCACAGCCGACTCATCAAAGCTGTCAGTAGGCCCATCCGAAAGGCTCTTATCTCAGTCCGGGCGGACACGTACCCAACGCTACGATTGGCGGTTCTTGAAATTGGCAAGAACATCGCGGATTATAAAGCTGAGATCCGTCAGGAGCGCCGACCTACTCGCGCGGCTGCTGCGGACCCGCTCGAGCTTTACGCAGTCGCCGCACAG